ACCGCTCGCTGCTGCTGGTCACATAGCGCCCATCTCCCTCACTGCGCATCTGGCGCGCGTACCCGTCCGGGTTCACCCCCGTCCCCACCTTTTTCCTCCTGCCCATCGCCCCGCTGTGCCGGCGCCCGCCGCTCGCTGCCTGCCTCCTCCTTCACTACCTCACACCCCTCTGGCCTAACGCTAGTGCCCGCTGTCCATCCTACCGCTGCTCCACCACTATGCACTCCGATCGGGTAGAGAGGCGGCTTTTGACACTCAAAAACTGAAAACGAAAAACAGTTGGCTGTCGGGTTGCCAACTTATGCTCTTGGCCCTTGCACAGGGGCCGCGCTAACCTTCCCTGTAACGTTCCAATCTCTAACGGATGTCCCGAGGACATGGCCTGGGCCCTACACCCGTGGCACTTCTCAGCTTGCGCAGGCTCGGGCAGCCCAGAACCCTGGGTTTTATGCGTTAAGCTCCATCATCTGGATTCGAACACAGGTACGTATTTCAACAGTTCAACGGTATACCCACCAAGCTAGGCTCTTATGTCCCGGCGCCTGCCACGGTACCGCGTCCCAGAGTGTGACGTGGTAAGGAACCAGTCGGGTTACTAGAAGAACGTAATTAAACGAGGGCAATTTTCGGCGCAGTCACAGAGATAACTTGTAATTGCACTTAAGGCAATCCCACGAATGCAACACACCCCACGCGATCCTATCGCAGTCTCGCGTCCCGAAACGGGACACGATAACAAAGGGACCAAGAACAATAAACGAAAGGGAAATAAAATAAAAATAGACGTCGGGGAACCGCGGGGCTGCTGGCAGCTTGCCCACCCCGCGGATTAGGCCCGCCGCCGCGCCCGTAAACAAAACCGAGGGGGATAGCCCCGCAAGGCCCGCAACCCCTCAGGTTTCGCTCCAGGCTGCTCCGATGCTGCCGTGCCAACGCCCGCTGGCCTCGATCCCTGAACCTCCGCCGTGTAAGCCCAATATCGTAACCCATAAGGCTGAGCCCAAGTCCGAGACCAACATCAGCGGAGTGCCATCTAAGGCGGTGTGGCGCCACGCTCAGGGCCAAGGAAATTGGCCTGAGCCTCGTCTCTGCCTACAACCGTGCGCGCGGCCGCCCAGCGTCTGCGCCGACTTACCAGGCTATACCATGGCCGCCACTCGGGCCACTCCGAGTGCCAAGACCTACCGCGGTCGTCGTCGCCGCCGTCAAGGTCGTCCTCCGTACGGACGCGTAGCTCAATCAAACATACCGACCAAGAAAAAATATCCTTAATCCCAGTCTAATCAAGAATAAACAAAAATAGAATAAAAGTAAAATTAGAAACGAACCGACCGGCGTCCGTGCCGACTTTATAACCAACGGTAGAAACGGAATCACGCGCGCCTCAAACCTGCGCGCCCACGCACTCTTTACTGTAGTCAACCATCCAGACAACGCAAATCACAGACGCGGCTGCGACTAGCGCGGTATACTTAGACTTTGATCCAGACTTATTTCCTGTCATTTGCAAAAACCATGGCGGATACCCTTGTAAGGGTATTCGCACCTACACCGGGTATCCCAACGATATGTACTGGTCGAGCAGGATAAGCTCCGCCACTTCCTCCATGACTCCCAACGGGCTTGCCCCACTGTCGGTTTCCTCTACCATTGTGGCCACCCGGCCAGGTCCGTTAGCAATTGGTGCTGCAGCTGCTGGTGCGGTTCTTGTTTGCGTGAGACGGTGGGGACAGTCCCGGGCTATGTGCCCGGGCTGATGACACGTGTAACAAACACTTACGTTAGTTGCCGCCGTGCCCCCTACTGGAGCGGGGGCTGCGCCTCTGTGTATATGCCCGCACATTTACGGGCCGTACGTACTCCCGTACGACCGTACGTACGGGCCCCGGGCCCCGGTATGGGTCGTACGTACAGACTTCGGGCTGTCCGTATGCGGTGTTGGAGGGGGGGTTCGAGAGTGTTTTTCGGGTGGGTGGGTGTCGGGCGTCGGGGAGGGTCCGTCTGCCAGTGGGGGTTAAACAATTTTTTTTGGGGGGTTGTGGGGCGGGTTCGCCGGTGGGGGGCGTGGGTGGAGGTATTTCAGCCGTAAAAAAAAAAAATAAAAAAATATGGGGCTGGGGAGGGGCTCGTTTGGGGGAGTTTATTTAGGTGTAGTTGATCGTAGTGTCGGGGTCGTTTTCCGCCGCTGAGAAGGGTTTCGCGAGGGAAAGGTTTGGGGGGGGGGGTTGGGGGGGGGGGGGGGAAGGGGGTTCCGGTCTTGGGGTCGGTTATGCCAAGGTCGTCCTTGGGGGTTGAAGAGGGTTGTCTGGGGGTTACTGACAATTGCATGAGAGGCAAATGAAACACACAACGAACTTGAAACAAGTTGAAGACCACATCAAGTTCATGATTTCAAACAACGACAATATTGAAAAGCATTGAGTAACATTCATTGCAGAAATTTTGAAAACACAACATGACGGGCAACGAAAAACAAGGCGAAATAGTTGCACCATAAACACACCACAATAGAAGAAGCATGGAGAGTGAACTCAGTCAAACAATGTATGAAAAAGTGTGTCATCGTCTAAAACATCGATACAAAAATAAAAGGAAAAAAACAGAAACTGCACCTACTGCACCTATGTATGAACAAAGTGTGCAATCGTCTGAAACATCGATAGAAGAATAAAAAGGGAAAAAAAAAAAAAAAAAACTGCACCCACTGCACCTATGCATGAAGACAGTGTGCAATCTCATGAAACATCGATACGAATTGCGTAGCACCCCGTTAAAAAACGCGAACAGGCTCCAAAAAACAGCGAACGCAAATGTATTTTTTTTATTTTTTTTTATATATAGGGGTGGGGGGGGGGGCATAGGTGGTGCCCCTGAACCTCCCCAGTGTCTGATGTGGTAGGAGGGGGAGGGGGCGGGGTTCTCTGTTCTGCAATTGTATTTCCCCCCACCAGATCCACTCCATCCTCCCACACGGCACATACAGACTGCCTGTCACAGTCTGTGTGTGCTGCCCAACAGACTGACCTATATGTGACAAACTCTGTCACAGTCTGTGACAGTCATTCTGTTGGGCAGCGCACACACTGTGACAGACAGTCCTTTGGGCAGCACACATAGATTGTGCCCAACAGTCTGTGTGACAGACTCTGTCACAGTCTGTGTGACTGACAGTCTGTCACAATCTGGTGGGCAGCACACACAGACTGTGACAGAGTCTGTGTGCAGCAACTGAATGTCTGTGTGTGCTCCCCCCC